CCCCCCCCCCCCCAGTGAGTTCCAAGCAAACACTCTCTGATTAATTGTTCGTGTATTTCGATCACCTCCCAAAATATTTTGCATCATACTATAGAGCATTTTGCTGTTGTCATGCTCTAGCGTGGTTCAAATTTATGAATTTTTATTATATAAAGTATAGTGTTTTGCAGAGTTTTTGAGCACTCTCAGCACTGACAAAAATGATAATCTCAGATGTGAAATTATTCATGATAATCTCACATGTAAAAATTTATCGCCTTTTCAATTATCGCTTTTCTGTAAACATTATCGCTTTTCATTTAAGACTGTCCTTTATATAAGACTCTATATCGCTTTTCATTTAAGACTGTCCTTTTGTGTTGAACATGACATCTCACTCGTTCGCTGCGCTCACTTATTCGCTGCACACTCATGTTCAACACTCGAAATAAATCTGGTATTTCGTGCACCCATGTATTATTCTCTATTTAAACTACAGCTAGACTGGTTTAATGGTCGTACACCCAAAATCAAGGTCTCGGACCATTTTTTTAATTATGCATAAATTGAATCATAAATCATGTTTGAATGATGTGGCGAAAAAATTTTTGTGATAGAATGAAAAGAAATATAAAAAAATTACGTTTTTTGAAGCCTAGGTATGGTTTTTCGCCTTAGCAACGCCCTTAGCAACGGAAAAATATATACAACAAACAGTTTTATTTTCCTTTTCCTTTCTACCCGTCCCTCCCCTGGACAGTATGTTTTTGTTATTGAGTAATAAAGCCGCTGACTATAAAGTACTGCTGCTTTACACACGTTTTCAAAACGTTTTCATCGGGATATTTTGAAAAGTAAATTTACAGAAATTGCTTATTCTTTGCTGTTTTATATTGGATTTGTCGATCGATTTACTGTTATAAGTATGCCACGATCTGCTTCAAAATCTCGTAAACGAAAATATCAAGGTAATCAGTGGTCACAGGGTAAAAAGACCAAGTGTGGCGATAGTGATTTAACCAGCACAGACCAAGGTTCGACTTCAACAAGTCATGCTAGTGCTTCGGCAAGGAAGTTGAGTAACCGTCTAAAACCTACAGCTAAAGCTAATACAAAGGTAGATGGATATCGTATCTTTAGCCTTGAAATACTTTCTAACGTGTTGAAACAAGTTGCTTGTCAAAACTGTAACGAAAATTGTTTGTATTTGGAAGAAGATAATAAAAGAAGGCAAGGGTGCTCATCATATCTTAGTATTGTCTGCTCTAGTTGTGATTGGAAGCACTGTTTCTATACTTCAAAAAAACTAAATAAAGGTTTTGAAGTTAATAAAAGGCTTGTCTATGGCATGAGATTAATAGGACAAGGAAGAGCTTCTGCCAAACGTTTCTGTGGGATAATGAATATGCCTTCTCCACCTAAAGCAAAT